TTAATTTTCTGTGTCCTCAGTGTTGCCCCATTTCTGTCCCAGAATCCCTTCATGTGCCAGTAGTTGTTTGGCTGTGAATTAGGAAAACAATGCACCAAGTGGTTTGCCATCAAAAACTAAACCCTGGAGTTCAACTTAATCACTTAAAGTTACCAAGTGGCTTTACAACAAGGTCCAAGGATTGAATTCATTTCCTCACGGAAGGAGGGGGAATGGGGTCAACGCCTGTGTTTCCCCTTCTGCACTGCCAAAGTCATCACAGAGGCTGAATTGGAGGAGATGGATCATATAGCACATAATTTTATGATTAAAAGCCCTTTCTTCAGAGACTTTAAACCAAATTACAACAACAACTGACTCCACAGGAGAGTACTGTCAGCAAGAGTCCACAGTTTCCAGTTGGTAAACAGAAAAAGCCGGTAGAAGTTGGTTAACACTTTGAAATGCTGACTTGTGGTGAAATTCCCAGGGGCCCAATGTGACTGGACATAAACAGCGTGAGGTTGAGCCTACACTGTGGAGTGTAACCAAGCATCGTAGGCTTGTTGGCCGCAACAGTTTGGAGCACCACCTACTGTAAGTCTTTCTTTAGAACAACACACTAACCAAAAAGGGAACAGCAGAGGGTTTTGTGTCATAAGCACAGATTTTGTTGTCCTCCAAACATTTAATCTTTTCAACAAAATATGAAAGACTGTGCACAACAACATGATTTCCAGAAATGCCAATGAGCCAAACCGCAGTCCACTGAAGTCTACCTTCTTCATGTGAACATACTGCCAACCCGCAGCCAAACTTACTTCAACTCAAGCCTAAGCACACAAACACACACAAAATACATGTTAATTGCATATGTCTGGACTATTAATCACCTAAGTGGAAAAACAATTAAGTAGTCAGAACTAACAGTTCAGTGAGCCTGAGGAGAAAAATGAGCAGACAGTCTCAGAAAAGTGCAAACAGGAGGATTTTAAATTATAAGGACTGCAAATGTCACAGGTATCTGGTAGAAGTTTCTAAATCAGCTCTCTTAAACTGGCTCTGGCCTCTCGAAGACTGTAAAAACAGTTCAAAATACTGTACCGAGGATACCGTAAAGCAATCTGATTGCTTTGGTTAGATTTGGACATCTGCCTTAACATCCATTGCTTTACGACGATATGTACGGTAAGCTGTGTGGCTCCTGGAAATATGGTTAAAGAATTTTTTTTTTCTGCAGTCTGTCTGTAAAAGATACTTGGCTGCAGCTCAGAACACACCAACATGTTCATGTAGGCAAATACTGAAAGGCAGCCAGTATCTCCTGGAGAACACCCACAGCTCATTTGCTTACAGCTGACAATGCAAATCCTGGTGGTAACACTGAAATTGTACACTTTCCTAACCTCACTGTACTCACTGTAATGACTTTGCGTTTAGCTTTACCCTAACAATGAACACAAGAATTCTACAAAATATACTTCGAACGCAGGTACATGTAGAATGTGTGTAGTTCAATTCCTACTAGGGAATGAACGACACAGTATTAAAGTTTAAAATGCCCACAACGCCAAAGTGAAAGAATTGTGAATATGATGAGGATTATGACGAGAAAGTTAAGCCAAACATATACATGGTGACTACGCATTTCTATTTGTCAAAACCTTATACTTTTTATAAACTTTTTCCTACAACAATTTAACACCTAAAGTATAAAGATAAAAGGTCTACAGCCATGTCTGCCTCTGTCCTTTGGTACAGCAATGCTCTGAGATAAAGCATGATGAAGCAAAAACAATGGCAGACTGCTCATAACTCCCATGTAATCAAAAAAAGGAAAAAAAGGTGGAGCATGCGGCTAAGCTGAGATGGGCCATGCAATCATCTCCAGGACTGGAGATGGACTGGAGATGGACTGTCCTGTGACAGCATCCATATGTTACTCACACCTTTAATTATGCATAAATGTAAGCCTTAATACAAATTTAAAAGGCGAGTCATATAACATTTACTCTCTGTACAGTTAGTACATAAGGGAAAATTAGCTAAAGTTACCTAAACTATTTTTGTACCAGGCTGTAAACATGTTAATTTCTGCTGTAAAGTTCAGCTTTTTAACACGGGAGTCTATGGTGATCGATTCGCCTCATAAGTAAGCATCAAGTGGCCATATGTGGAACTGTAGTTTTTGACACTTTGCTTTACATATGCTGGAAAGCAGTTATTTGGAGGTGAGAGTGAGACAAAATCTGATGTTGTATTATGTTGCAGTAGACAAGTAAATCCACACAAGCTCAGCAGCAGTTTAAAGACCTCCTAGCCATGAGCTCTCTATGCAAACGTACAATCAGCGGTATGTTCGTGAGTCACAACTGAAATCACATATTTTGCTACATTCCTGCACTGTCTGGAATTTAAAAATTTCCACCTTTAGCATCACCCACAGACAATTCAAGAGACGCAAGGACATGCATGTGCTTTCCAGTACGTACCGTGAGGCTCCAGTTAATGTGGGGCACCTTGGTGTGGAGGTTGAGGGTGAAGATCAGGAGGAGGACCCCTGTCACCACAAAGGCACTGCAGCTGACAAACTCGAAGAAGTAGACGCCTCCGCAGGGGGAACACATCATGATAGTCTCTATGCAGATGAACGCGATTAGTGATAGGACCTGAGGTAAGAGAGAAAATGACAGGAGGGACATGAGTTAAGAAGTACAGCGACATGTTGAGGAGCATTTTCAAAGTTATTTGACAAACATGTTACACAATCCGCTCATTAATAAATCATCTCTCCTGGCTAGAAAACTGGGTTAGCGTGAACAGTCAGCATACAGTATTCTAGCCACAGTGGAATTCATTATTCAAATCTCTGTTCTTCTTAATGACTGTCAGATCAGTTAGACGCTTGACAGTTACATAAAACATGTATGATTTTCATTTCTGAAAATTTGTAAAACACTGAAAGGGATTCTGAACAGCAAAACAAGATATTACACATTACCATATATTTAAACAGATAATGCCTATCAAATTTACCTAGATTTTTGGGTTACATAAACAAGTTTCCAGCATTCATTCAGTCTGTCAATTTTTAGTATCAGACATAAAACATGCTAAGTATAAATCTACGAAATATATGTTTAGTGGTTATACTTTTAAGAAGCATAAAGGATACTGTAAGTTAAGCCATTTTTGTAACTTTATGTGAGTCTGTTAGTGGTGACATTCCAAACTTTCCAGATTATGAAGTGATTGTCCTATGAATAAACCAGAGGCCATGAGCCCATCTCATGAGTCCTGTTCCTGGCAGCCTGTGATGATGGCTGCCTCCAGCCAACATCCATCAACAAACCACAGTATGGGAAGAATTCTGCTATTTAGGTGTTCTTGTGCCATCTAAACCCAGACAAAACCACACACAGATTAGCGATTGGCTCTGAGCTTTCCAAAACTTAGAGACATAATAAAACCATGAGAATGCCTCTACAATATATTCCTGACCTGAAGCAGCTCTTTTTAAATCAATTCAGATTAGACCTTAGATTCCCAATAGTGATTTAACGATTAAGGCTCTGACTTTACTGATCCAAGGGTCTGTCCCATCAAGTTGTCTTTGTTGACCCTTTTTCACCAAAGAAGTTCAAGGGTTTGTCCACAGCCTTTCTCTAATCCTTGAACCAGATCTTCACATTCTGAAAGCCAAGGAACCGGCTCTTGGTAAGCAGAACTTGTTCCAGAGTGACACAGACACTTTTCTCGTCTACAATCAAGAGATGAGTATAGCAGAGGCTGGGGGACTCGACTATCATGAACCAACAGGACCTGCTGTTCAATGGATCAATATTGCCAGCTGGTGTTCACAGACATTAACTGTTACTTGCGATGGCATATATAAATTCAGCTGCTGATAATAAAACATCAAATGACAGGAAAAATAAAACAAATTATGAGCTTATTGGTTTTCCAGCAGTGCTCGTCAGGGAGACAAACTGCCTCCTTGCATTGTGGTCCAAGACAGACATTTAGAATAAACTAGAGGGAGCTTCCATAAAAAAAACAAAAAAACAAAACACTATGTACAGTATATGGTGACTTCATGGCATTGCTCTGTTGTGGCTCTCTAGTCCTTTGAAAAGCAACCTGATTCTTAAAAGATTCGCAAGTTGGATCAACCCTGAATGACTTTCACCCGCCCAGAACAAGCCCCTAGTTCATGTTGGCAAAAACAGGGTATGTTGGGCACTTGAACAAAGGTTCATAAGCCTATCTGTTCCAGGGGCACAATACCATGCCTGACCCTTCCCTCTGATCCTATCTTCCTGCAATGTACATGTGACCAATAAAGCAACATTTCCCACCATCTTCTGGGGGATTGTAAGGCGTTTCCAGGCCAGATGAGCTACGTAATCCCTCCAGTGAGTTCTAGATCTACCCTGGGGTCTCCTTCTACTTGAGCATGCTTGGAAAACCTCCAAAGGAAGTTTAAGCACAGAAAGACTCAAATGAAATGAGATTCCGCTTGATTACATGGTATTTATTGATGTTGCACGGGCCAGTTTTGCACGACCAGGTGAAATTTCATCCACGGGTAAAGGTATTCAAACGTTTTATGTAATGTCTCATAGTGTAATTCTGTGTAAACTAAATCTAGTGCCACAGTAGACATAACAGCAACAAACAAACAGGATGTAATCACGGCCTGAGTGGGAAAGACGGAGAGACAGAGCACATGCTTTCTCTGAAGAGTCAGTTTGAGTTGAAACTAGAAACATTAAGTCAACCCTTTGGAATTTACTGCATTTATGTATTATTTTGTTCATGTTTATAAGGTCAGATCTTCATCGATGTTACAGTTATCTAGAAATACAACATACTTAAAAACAGACAAATAACTGTGTGGTACTTGTCCATAATGAATGCATCATTCGAGCAGTAGACTGGAAAAACTATGTGAACCACTGACATCAACAAAACAATTACTGAAACAAGATTGGAGGTGTCAGAGTTACTTTGACTTACAAAATAACACTCAAGAAGCATCTGCTGATGTGAGCCATGCTTCACAAAAACTAATCCTCAGAGGACGTATAACCATGCATTGCTGATTAAAGATGGAAAGGGGAAATTCATCAGTCCACAATTAGACAGATTATATATAATTGGAGATGATTCAGTATTGTGGCCACTCCTCCTGGAACTGAGAAACCAGTTAAGATGACTCCAACAGCACAGCGCAGAGTGTTGAACGAGGTAATAAAGAGCACCGGAGTAACTGCAAAAGCATTAAAGCAATCACCAGAGTCACTGAACATCTCTGTTCATGAGTCTACCATACAGAAAGCATCGACCAGGCAGGGTGTATGCAGTGTTACTGGGAAAACATTTTGTCAACCAATGGATCTATGAAAGGACATTATATACCAGCAAGTAAAAAAATCTTCCCCATGAAGAATTGCAGGGGTAACAGCGGAGGGAGCATCATGATTTGCTACCACTGTGCTTGGATGATGGCTGTCATCGGTGACGGTTTATCAAGGTTACAGAATAATGTCAAGTTGGCTGTCCACCAGCTGGAACTCAGTAGAAGCTAGGTGATGTAGCAGAACAATGAGCCTTAACATCGAAGTAAATCTGCAACAGAATGATTTCAAGCAAACCTTTGAATTTTGCTGAATGATGCCGTTCACATCAGAAACCCTAACAATATGGCAGAACTAGTTTGTGTGTAATGGCACACACAAACTAGTATAATCACTAGGTTGTGTGTACTACAACACCAAGAGAGCAGAAAACAGTAAACGGCAGTGTAGTGTTTCTAATAGGCTGCAGTGGCCAGTCATTTCCTCCATTAACAGATGACTGAAGTGGTGCTTCATTAGTAGTTTCTTCTCGATCAGAAAGATACTGATTATCTCACACATGTCTACTTTGATGACTTGATACAGGGTGATTCTCTAGCAATGATGAAGTAGCTGATAAAAAAATTTATTTTTTCCAATAAGGTTTAAAGAGTCATTAGCAGAGATGCACATGGATGAGAACAGAGTGGCACAACGGCAAGTTCCTTTGTATTTATAAAGAGGAATGTGGGGTTTTATTCTCACATATTAGTTTGAATAAATGAAATCCCCAGCTTCAGAAAAGCCAGGCTTAAATAATGAAAAGTTGTTATTCTGAGAAACATGGCAACTTCAAGCTTTGCTGAGCACCGTTTATACTCAAGCTTAAGACACATCAACATTAAACCAGGATGCCAACCTCTTGGAAATCTGCTTCCTGCTGACAAAAAATGCCACGGATACTGCACAGGCATTAGTTTTGGGATGTTTTCAGACAATCTAGATATGTATTTTGTTGGACAGTGAGAGAAGTAAGAATAAAAGAGGGACAATCACATGGCTGCTATATGTATTAGGGTAGCTGACATAGGAACAGGGAAGAACAAATGAAAATTGTATAAGCACAATGTTTGAGTAACACCAAAGGGGAGGGAATAATGGACAACTGAAAAGCACCAACACCATGGACTAAAGCTATGCTATGCACAGACTATTCAATGGAATACAAAGAGAATGCATTTTTTGATAAAAATCCCCACCAGGAAGTGACATTACACTGTAATGCTTGAGCATAAGCCCGATGTCAAAAGTGTCTTCAGATCTTCAAAAACACATAACAAAAAGTGTGACAAAATAAATGGATACACTGAAACATGCATGAGCACAGACACATATCACTGGCCTATATGTTCTCCATGCAAAGCTTTGATCAAACTGCTATTGATGTAGAAATGTAAAAGCAGCTGTCACCTACTGTGTATGAGCATGTGCAAACTAGGCCACATTTATACAGTAGAAAGTGTAAGAAGGACAATGGCTTATAGAATGTGTGCTTAATATATGCAGCCTGACAATAAATCCAAAACTGCATGTTTGAAGATGGAGGAAAATGAAAATAATTTAACAAATATACTACCAAGTGTGGGCAGCACTATTTGAGACTTTACACTTCCACAATGCTATTTTTTTTAGGGTATTTTGCAAAGCTGAAACTACGGAATTGCTTTTTTTTTTTATTATTTATTTATTTTTTTAAATATATAGGAGTCTCTGAAGTCGCTAAGATGTTCAGAAACAGTTGCATCTTAAACTCTGCACAGGGAGCTGACTCCAAAGTGTTTGTGTAAAAGAGCCTTAAAGTGAGAAACCTTTTTATAATATTAACGCTGGGATTGTTTGTAAAACCCAAGAAAGATTTTCATCCGATCTGAATCCAACTTGAGCCCAGCCAAGCAAGTTTAATCTCATTGCTTGACACTGCAGAACAAATCCAAACAGTCTCAATAAAGAGCCCAAAAGACTTGTCCTCATCTCCCCTCACTCTCAGTAGCTCAAAATATGACCCTATTGAAGCTGTTTAATGAGCATCGTGTGCTGTTTCTGACCAGTAAAGTGTTGTTGTTTGATGGTTGGCACTGGCGAAGTGTGCGAGCAGAACTCTCCTGTTTGGGACAGACTCCAGTCCAGTCATCCAAGTCTTTGGCTGAGAAAACACCCTTGGAGACATGGGAAAGTCTGCATATAATATTGCATGAAAATAATTTGTCAAACAGTCACAATAAAAGTGACAGACTAAAGCAGAGACATGAGAGAGCAAATCCACATGAGTGCAAAAGTTTCCTTCCGTGCAGCTGTTAAAGCCTCATTAGAGCATCTATTTGGATAGCAGTCCGTCTGCGAGAGTAACACAACTAAGGTTACGCCCAAACAGGAGTGGAGGGCTGCTCGAGCTCAGAGATGATGTCATGTCTCTTGAAGAAAGCATATTGCTTCTCCCAACTCCCTGTGCAGCAGGTGTCAAGCAGTCACAGAGGGGGAGGCAAGGGATCGCCAGTGCCATACTGACTGATCTAACAAATAATGTTTTTTTTGTCAGCCTTCACTCCTATGCAACCTGTTCTTCTTGTGTGCAACAACTCTCTTTCTCTTCTCTCTACTACATGCAAGCGCATCCTTATCTCGGGGATTTAGCACATTATTAGCCAGCGTTAAGAACGACTTGGACTCAGATCCCCTTCCTATACGCCATCTGTTGTGAACAGAAAATTAAAGTAGGAGAAAAGAGGCCTCATTGTAGAGGCTATGCAACATTTTATGCTCTACTCCTACAGTTATAGGTCACCATAAAAAATAATAATAATGAAAAAAAAATCACCCAAAATGTTGTCAGTCTTCTATGAGATGGAAAAAAGTAGCCTGAATGCAGGTTAAATTTCACCCCAGAGCACAAGTTAAGCGTATGTTGCAGCACATAAGCAACAGCGTCTCCCCACATGCGTGCACAACATTCTTGTTGTCTTTATGTCTCCCTACAAGCTTTGAATAAGAAATGCTGTAACCACAAGAGAATGAAGCATATGGCGTCTCTCTCAGCGGAGGAAGTGCGTGCTGACATTTGGGAGCATCTGTTGACTTCATTAAACAACATCTACAGAAAAAACACCTTCACATAATATTTAACTACCACTTGTTAGAATATTATTTAAAAAGAGGAAGCTGGTTTCATACACCATCGCGAGCGAACTGGTGTTTGTCATGAAAGCATCAGGTTTGCTGGGAAGTGAGTTTGATAGGTGTATCGTATACCTGCCAATGTGTAGAAGGACATGAGGTGAATATCAGTTGGACTCTGTTGACCCAGTCAAAGTGAAGAGACAAAGACAAACCTGCTGTCAGGGTGGACACACCTTGCTCAGATTACATCCTTGCTGGAGGCTGCTTCTGATCAGGACAGGGTCAGCAGCTGCCAGTCTACCTATTCATTCAAGGAATGACAAGCTGACTGGCTCTGTAAAAGCCTGTGCAAATGCTTTTTAGTGCTCTGGTGTGAAACAACTATGTAGGTCTATTAGCACTTAGCTGTGCAGAGGGAAACAGAGAATTTCTCTGTAAACATGGGTCAGGGCAAATGTCAGGGCGGTTTGCAATTACGCCTTTAGAGCAAACAAAGCCTGGGTGTAGACGTGATATAATAACATTTCCTTGAAAAAAAGTAATTAGGAAGCATGGACAAAGGCCAGAGGGGAGCCGGTGAGACATGAGAGCTCACTACATTTTGAGTGATGGCTGGCAAAACTGACATCATCACAAAGTTTGACATTGAATATACATTTCATAAAACAGAACTCCTTATCTCTCATTGTGTGCAAAAAAGCAGCACATATTGCACTGAATCATTCATCATTACTCCACAGAACAGATTTCTGCACACAGTTTATCTTTAAGTGGCACATGACTGCTGCCCTTTTCAGCCACAGAACCACTTCTGTGATATAAATAACAGGCACAGCACTTCCAAAATATGCAGAAACTGTGCTACATTAGGCACTTTTTTACAATACATCACTTGCAGTCAGCTTTGCATTGTCATCTAGTTGTCCAGAAAGATCATATCACTGCCTCAGCTGGCACTTGGGGGAAAAAAATGAAAGGACAGAGCAGTAAAAATGAAAGGCAGAGAAGCTATTAATGCTTGGCAGGAAGCCTTGTAGGCCTCCTCTAAGATACTGAATGTAAACTTGGCTGACTTTCATTAGTCCTCTCCTTGTCACTGCAGGAGAAATATGACTATCTCATACTGTAAAATCAGCATCAGAGCTGAAGAAACCAAAAAAGTACAAAAAGAAAATCAGTGTAGTATATTAGATAACACTTATTCACTTGTATTTGCCATAGCTGAATTGTAGTTGCATATAACTGATAATAGTTAGGAACTTCCAGACACAGATGGATTATTCATGGATTATTCTTCATATGTTACTTTCTGCAGATGTGAGTATCAGTGGTAGTTCTGAAGGCAATGTTTCTTTGATATTTTCTATGTGCTTTTTGTGCAACTATCAAGTACTAAAAGTTGGATCAAATGCATGTCCTTGTTTACTCATTTCATGATAAGACATTATCTCAGTTTTATCATTCGTTCACCAGTGTCGAACTGACATTTTAAGTCAAAGCTTTTGTACTGCTGCTTGTTCTAAGACACCATGTAAGTTCTTTGGCTTATATTGCTCCATAAGAAATGGTTTGTTTCTTAATGCAAGGTATCAAAAACATATTGTGTCACTACTGAAATTTAAGCATTGTATTGACACAAGCATCAAAAAGTGTTAATGTTACTCTCGTAGATTAATCGTAGCACATGTATACATATGTTACCCAGTCCTACTTGTTGTCCTACTTGTTGGACCACATCACTGTTGATAAAAGATAATGTACTTATGGGTAGCTATACTAGAACCATGAAGGCAGACATTGGTATGTTTACACACATAAATAATGTGAATATAGTTTGTATATCATTGGTATTACATTATATAAGGAAAGTAATTTTTGTGCTGCAGAGTCAAAGACAAGATTCTACCATTTACTGCGAAACAGATGCAGACTGTGTGCATAAATCTATCCAGCTACTGCCTGCTCTATACTTCTCCCACGCTGATGACAGATGGCTTCCCATCCCATCCTACCCACATGCACAGAGGTAAACATCACAGGTGTGTGCAAGCAGCAGCAGCAGCAGCATGAGCTGACATCACCGACACACACAACCACCTACAAACTGACAAAACTTTTCAAACACCTCTTTTGCAAGAGCTGCATTTAAGTTTTAAAAGTTGCAGCAGAAGGAGCCAAGACTGTGTGCAGTATTATCTTCCAACAGTCTGGACTTTCAGTTTCAGCTTGTGCTATCCACAAACATTATTAGAGGTAATTGCTACTTCCCAGGTTTTTTTTCTTCTCCTGTTTTGGACACATTACTTCATGGATATGAGTGTGCAGGCCTGGACTGAGATTTTTGGCACCAGAAGAAGAGAAATGGCCCCAGCTTGATGGATATTTCCTCCTCTGGCGAGTTATCAGATCTTTGGGACCATTCATTTTTGCTTTGATATTGCTCTGATATTGCTCTTATCCCAGTTCCGACATCTGGTTTGGTTATACTGATTTAAAATAACAGCAAAACAATAAAATATGTTTTCCAGTGACTACTAACAATGATAAAGTAGAAATCTCTTTTTTTGGCTAAGAAAAATTCAAATACACTGCTACCATCAAGTGCATTGTTACACATCACATTCGAGCAGCAGAGGAATAGCGGAAAGATTAATTTTCAACAAACTTGCAAAAATGTAAAAGTTATCAAGTCCCTTAAGAAGCTTATCGCAAGAGGCTAGAGCTTACTAAACACAATATCATTATTGCATAACACCACAAGAACAAAAGTTACCCGTAGGTTGCTGCATCATTCGTTGGAGTGTGGGTTATTCACAACAGTAATTAGAAATGTATGCAAAGCAGGACTAATGTGACCCTTAACAACCTTACCTCTACACTTATTATTGGAGCAGACATGCAGGGATGTAGTACAGGTTAAACTAGAACCTGTAGGGCCACGTCTTCTTCATGTTTGGAGTTTTCCCAGGGAGTTGTAAGTAATAAGTAAGATAGTAATGCTCAGAATAAAGTATAAAGTTCCAAAATATCACACTAGAGCCTTAAATTAAAAGTGCTTATTTATCTGGAAACAGGGTTATTTTGTCCATATGTTAGTGGCTGCTTGGCTCGCCAAAGGTGCGCCATAGTTAGTTGTACTTAACCGGGGCTGCACATCTTTGAACATTTCGTCATCGTGCGTAAACTTACCACTTCCACCACCTTTAAAATCCCAAAGTACGACTTGAGGTACTCCACGTCGCACCTTATCCCCCCCAACACGTTCCGCGCATGGACGGGCTCGGTGGTGGGTTGATACGGGCTGCTGGCTCCGGAGATCATGGAAGTGTTGGAGGCCTCGCCGTCAAAGCCCTCCGTCTCCTCGGTGGTCCTCATGATTTCGGGGAGAAGCTGGACTCGAACTTGGGTAAAATAGAAAACGCTACCACATATAAACCTGGATCTACCTCGCCGTGCGCGTTATGTGACAGAAAAGCACACTTTGTTCCATGCAGGCTGGAAAGTAGATGGCAGGAAAACAAATCAGACAGTCCACTTTTCACAGCCTCCCCGCGGTGAAACAGCCGCGACGGAGGCTCTTTAACATTACGCACGGGCTGCTCAATAGACCCCGCGGCGTGTCCTCTCCTCTCCTGCGCACAGCGTTGCGTCTCTCGTCTCAAACAGCCGCACTTCTTACTCCTGTTAGGCGGGTCACTTGTTCGAGTCCCGGTGTCACTTTACCATGGACGATTCTGGTGAGCTCGGCAACACCGAGAAAAACGCCTGCCGGGCTGCGTGCCTCGACTGACGACGGAAAAACATCCAGCCATCGTGGCCCAGAAGCGCCCAGAGAGAACCGGGTTGTTTCCTATTGTAAAGTTAATTAGGCAGCGGCTTACAGTGAGGCTGCCTATAGCCGCCGCTTCTGCTGTGTATGGAAAGCCAGCTTGTCTCCGCCCCTCTGAAAACTGCACATTCTTGAGTAGGGCTCTGCGCCCGTTTTAAGTATTCCCAAACAGTCTGCAAAACGAATCCAGCCGGAACCACGCCGACAGGACCGAGCTGTGCTGCATTTTTCTGACGTTTCCTTCTCTTTTACTGCTTCTCTCCCCCTCTCTCTCTCTCTCTCTCTGCGTCGATGTGTCTCTGCAGCATTTCACCGGCAGCCAGGGCCTGAAGAAATGAGGTTATTTCTTTATTCTCTTGGGGATCATACCTTTTCCTTTTTTATGGAATTTATTCTGTTTTAGGCCTTGGTTCGTTTCAGTTTCCTGCCACTACAATGATCCAAAAGTCTATTATCACTCTATAATAAAACACGAAATATCCAAATATTGGAAGTACAATACTGCTTTGCTATTTTGTCTGAATATAGCTCAAAATGACTGTATATTCAGTTCCTAAAAAGCATTGTGCAGCTTAGAAAGCAAGCAGACACCAGTCTAAGTCATGTTTATCAAATGTCAATAACAAAACTTCAAGAAACCAGAGACAGGCCTGTTTTCTTTCAGTGGAATGAAATGTCCTTCCCTGTACCTCACTGCCCTCTTATGGTATTCAGTGGCATTAAAGGTTGCCTAGGTGACTACACATATCTAAAAATGCTGGAAAATGTCTTATCTGATGCCTGATTAATGCACATAAACAGCTATTAAAGGAATGCTGGACTCTGACTTTGATTCCAATGGATTTTTACTTCATTGGAATGCAGTTTATATCCAAGTGCTTAAAATTGGAAATGCTGGGCATCTACAAAAACTTTGCTTGAATACGCAGGTTTACCTATATGAAATGCTATGGCTCAGCTCAACCAATAAAATGAACAGTGGCTTGAGAGACTCTGGAGCAGCAGGATGGATGGAGACAGTACACGTTAGGTGACGACACTATGGAGGAAATTAAACAAGAATGACTCAGTTAAAAACAAGGACTATTCTGTTGAAACAATAAAATTGTACACAGCTAATGCAGTTCTGGTGGAAAAATGTGAAAATCAGCGTTAAATCTTTTAAATTGCGGTCACAGTTGTAAACATTTAGCAAATGCATGTTGCTGTGCAAACAACTGGTCATATATTATATTTGTAATTTAACTCTGTAAAATGTTACATTCTAGCAAAACAATCTAATTTTGTCCAGACACAAACAGTCCACAAAAAGGTTGGATTCTTGGTTTTATTGAAGCCAGGGGTCCGATAAACATTTTCCTTATCTTTGTCGGCATAAGAAGCTAGAATCCACATGGCAGCTTAGAGGCTACAGAATTGTATTGAAGACAATCAAACTTCTGAATTAATCCAGGACACACACACACAAAAAATGCAGCCAGCCATGTGCTTACAATGTTCTTGATATCCTGACTAGGTAAGGAAGGACTGGAAGCAGAAGCTCATAGTCTCATATAGATGCAGACTGTCGATAGTGGTCGAAGGCAATTCAGTTAGGATGTGAAAGGCCAGTTGTTTTCAACTGACATTTGAGTACAAAAGTTACATCAGTTCATTATTTCATCTTGGGAGCAGCATCCAATCTTCACAAAGAGCGAGTGCAACTTTGAACCAAGCAGCATTAGAGCACTTCATTCCACTCAGCTAAGGGCCAAATTTAACAAGTGTGGCCGTGTGTTATCAACAGAAACTGGGGCGGTCAGTCAGGTTACAGTGACATTTCAAAATTCTTTTAAAAAGATATTTTCAATGACCAAGATCACTTTTTGAAAACAAAGACAAAAACATGCTTAAAGTGGGATGTAAACACAAATAAAGAGGGCAAATCATGAGCAAAAGGACAAACCTGAAAATGAATGGACATTTATTTGGTTTATCTACTTTAAGATGTCCCAAAAACATCCATATAAAAAGATGTAATGACAATTATTACAGGAGGATTGATATTAACTATACAATGTCGCCTAAAGAAAGGAGATATTCCATAGTTAACCACCACGGGCACCTCCCACAACTTCAGCAGCAAATGCAGATAAATAATGCAGTTTTTCTGTGTATGTTAACTTCTTGTTTCATGACTAAATGCTCTAAAAAGGCAAAGGCAAAAAAGAAAAAAAAAATGCATTCTGTAGCTTTAATTGTCGCAAAAAAGGAATTAATATAAGTCGAAGGAAAAGTGCTTATTTCAACCTGTGGCGGTGCTGCTCCTGGCTGTTCTTAATTTGTGCTTCATCCACTTCGGCAACAGACCCTCAGGTGCACATTCCACCCAGTCACGAAAAATAAGGAAAAAATAAAAACAAGAGCTTCATTGTAATCAAAGTAAATCCAGAATAGTTGTGTAGCATCACTCTGACAATGCATGAAGCATACTGTACACGAATACGGTCTTGTTGTTATTCCCTTACAGAGCAAACGTCGAAAAACAAACAAAAAAAGACACAAAACCCTATTTGCAGAGCATTTGTAGACAAGTTTAGAAAATTTGCCATAAGTTACTGTAACCAAATTAGGGTTGGGTTTTTTTTGTTGGTTTGTTTTCTTTTTCTCTCGCTGCTTCCCTAAAGTCCACACATGTTTGAGTAGAAGAGGCCATTCCTACCATTTTATAGGGTGTTCTTTAAAAAACAAAAAAGACTTTTATAGGCAGGTCTGATGTTTGGAATGCAAGGGCTCTATGCAAGAGTGGGACAAACATGGCCGCTGGTTAATCTTTATCTAATGACTATCAACTAGAAATGCAGAAAATAGCAACTAATATGCATCTTTGGTTCTGTGTTCCAATTCACTCCAGTTTTCTTTTTTTTTTTGCTATTATTTGAATAGTAAATAGCTGCTCTCCTCACACTTGCCATTAATTCTGTAAAAGCTACTGAAATACACTAACCGTAGGATTAAGCAGGGCCTTGCATACAGACCTAACATGTACACTTAATTTTGATTATGGTGTCATGAAACCATAAGTATTAATACAGGTTACTTGATATGGTACAGTATAATTGCTTCAATTACAAAATAATAGAAATGACATAAGACAATTAAGCAACCCCTTAAGGACACACAAATTAATTAGGAGCATTCCTGTGAAGGCCAGGGGCCTAGTGTGACAAACTGTTAGCTGTACATTGAAGGCAAAGGTTTTCATTTTAAATGGGCACTAAAAAGGGCCAGACAAAGAAAAAAAAAAAAAAAGACCTGACTGGACAAACAGGGATGTGTTTCTACAGCTACTTCATGTAGAAACTGGGAATGTAGAAACTGATGTGCGAAGTAAAGTGAACACGAGAAACCAAAGGAGGACAATTCTGTCAAAGACTGAAGGATACAATATCTGATTTTGTTAAAACCACAGCAAATAATTGTTTTTGTTTTGGCTGCAAGTGAGTGGTTTCAACCACAGTGAGTCTGGGGGACTAAAAAAAGTTCCATTGTGTGGTTTCTTCTTAATATCAGCAGCCTTTACAGTTTGTATGAAGGCATTCAATCGCACTATTAACTCGGCCACAGAAATCTTATTTCTGAAAAATAAAAGACCACAGGCTTGTTGTACATTAACAAAAATGTAAAACGAAATAAATTATTTGGATGACAAGAAATGGACAAAAAACCTTTTAACCAATGGTGCTACAGTGCATTTCCTCTTGCGCAGACAAGCACCTCTACTATGACACAAACAGCTAACTGTGCGAGGCACTTAGGAGTTATAGTAGGAAAGATGCTGCCCAAACCCCTCCCCAAATATACACACCTGTAGCTAAAGAAGCGATTCTGTTGCAACCTCTAAGCTTGTCAAATCCCAACCAGTCTCACTAAGTCAAAGAGGCTATCTTAAGAATTTGGACAGAAATGCATTTTGTACAAAATCAAGTTAACCTGAAGTGTTTTTTTGTATGTATGTATGTATATTTACAGAATCCTTCGAGATGTCTAGGGCGAATGATATGATGTGCTATCAGCTATCTGGACATGTCATATTAGTGTCATGATGTCAGTGGCATTTTAACATGTTACGTGATACAGATGAACATTTCCTTTAACCAACAAATGGTGCACAAAATAAAATAAAAAGGAGGAACTTTGTATAAATACATCAGTCTCATATCCAAGGTTTTTTTTTGTTGTTGTTGTTTTTTTTACATACTACATATGTTTGCAAGTATTTTAATTACTATTCTCAATGATTACATTTAATGTTTAAAGAACTTTCCAATCACAACCAAATTCCTTCCATGAGATAAGCTGAACCGGAGGCCACAGGACAATATATAATCACTCTTTAAATCCATGAGGAGAGTGTTCTACCCCAGAGACTGGGGGGTCCACAGCCCAGCACATTAGGCTGGCTGCTGGGGAGTGTGCACACATTTCCATAAACTGACATCCCTCACAAAATAACATTTACAGTGGAAGAGAGGACAGAAACAAAGCCAAGCCTTCAGCACATGCCATCTTAACACCTCCATCTCTGCAACCACTCTCTTCCCATCTCACCAAAACATCTGATAGCATCTGAAACTCATTTGGTGAAACCACTGTGTGTTGACGGATATAGGCGTTGGGAATTTGGTCAATTTTTTTTTTTTTTTTTTTTTTATGCTCACATGTACATATATTTTTCCAGAGTATTAACGCAGTGGACGATGCAGCTGTTTTTGTTGCCTTCACGCTTCGTTCTCTGTTGGCGGTGGTATGTTGTTAGCTGAAACCATGGAGTCTTGTTTGCGAGTCATCCTGTCCAACTCAGCCTGGACATCAGTCAAACCCGGCTTCTGCCCTTGGAAAAAAGACAGGAGACAAAGCCCAAAAGTAATCTCCTGTAGCTTCTGCGTATGCGCGTTCATGAATAATAGTTTTCAATGTCCAGCAAGCAAATGGATAATTGGGGGGGGGGGGGGGGGGGGGGGGGGGGTATGAGTTCCCATGCTGGTGACTGGCTGCCACAGTTAACACACATGCAAAACTAATCATCAGACAAAGGCAACATGTACTCATGCGTTATCCTTTCTGCTGGGTCTCAGATGTTAATGCTGCTCAGTGCTGGAACAGAAAGTGCGCCAGTGGTCTCAGGCTGATTGAGTTATGCAATGCTTTCTTCAACGTTTCACTGGGTACATTTTTTGACTTTATTATATCTACCGAATATAACACAGTATTTACAAAACGTGCTGAAGGTAAAAAAAATAAATAACTGTTGACATGCACAACAGCTGAGGTTACTGAAGTAAAATAATTAGTTGAGCGAGAGAGCAGTGTGATATGGCATGGTGTGAGAGACATTAGTTTCATGAGGGCACTTGTGATGGGTGGTTTGGTGCATACAGGCCTGTCACAAGCTTCCTCAGCTGTCAGAAGGTCAGTCAAAGCAGACAACTTTGCTTTTTCTCCTGCTTTAACCTTCTCACTCAGGCTGTAGAGATAAAACTCCAGACAGCAAAATGGTCCACAGCCTCTAACAACAGAAGTCCCTGTTCCTAGCTCATTTTATTGTCAGAGTGCACACAGTCCATTTTCTGGCATAGATATAAATGTACCAGCTGCTTAAGTGAACAATAATCCTTCATAATTGCTCTAGTAAAAGGACAACTGCTAACCTATAAGAAAGAAGGTTGTAAATAAAAACTGGAGGCCATTGTTTTCGCTAAGATCAGAGATGCAAGCACTGGCATTAAAAGTTGTACCTGTTTTCTTGGCGGATCCTTGCACTCCAGCTCCAACCGCACCAGTTCCTGGGCTCCCTGGGGCTCCAGTCTTTTTACTCAACAGACTGTTGAAGAAGTTAGCCAGCACTCCCTCGTTGGCAGCCCCCGCTGTAGTACAAACACAAAAAGAAATGTAAAAAACGGTCAAAGAAAACTGGATTGCAAAAAGTTGTTTAAATACAAAGAAAACATAGTGAAAAGTTTAAACAGAGTAAAAACAAGCCATAAAATAATATGATTATTATACTTCAACTCCAAAAGAAACATCAGCTTTAAAAGGTATATCGTCACATAAATAAATAAATTTGAATAAAGCCAAAATTGCACAATGTATCTTCCCCAGAAAATACAGAGAATCATTGTATGTACAACTTGTGACTTCTCATTCTCAAATCAAATCTGAGGTTAAAATAATGATGGTTGATCAAATTTAATTTATTCTACATCTCTTATTTAAAAAAAGAATAAAAATGAAATAAAAAATCATGAAACAAGTTCTGTAAAAAAACTAAACGTTGTGAGCACTGAGCCATTAGTGACTGCGGTGCGACCAACAGTCATGTGACAATTCAGGAAATTTTTGGCTGAACCAGGCAGAGTTATAGGTTGTGTTCACACAGATCAGATAGGAGACAAACACAGAAACAAATTAAAAAGCATAAGTAGTTTAACTATCTATAGTATACAGAGCTGCCATTCTTTCTCAGTATTGATAACTCCTGGGGGCATTTGGAAAAATGTTGGACATGTTGATTTTCAAGTTTTTTAAATTTTTGTAAAATAAATCATCAGAGAAAATCATCTTTCACTTTTTTTTTTTTTTCCTCGTTCTCGTGATATGTGGCATTTGTGCTACAAAAAAAGAGATTTTTAGGTTCTCTCTACTTCTAGCAATGGTTGTGGTGTTTCCATAAAGGGGCAAGAAAAAATTGTCCAAAAAGAGTAACAATATGACAGGAGCAAAAAATCTCCAGAAACTACTTGGTTAATGAATAAATACTTAAGCTTAAGGGTGAACTATTTTTCCAGTGTTACCTCTAGGGGGTAGTAATGGACCATTTAAGGAAAAGGGAGCTCATATTACAACCAAAAGACAAAAGGTAAGTGGAAAAGAAATGTGACAGAAACTGTTTTGTGAGAGGTTCGAATGCTGATTTCAATGTTTGATTAAAATGAATGCTGAATTGAGCCCCTGGGACAAACTTGCCAAACTGGGATGCACTGGAGTGCAAAAAACGATTCTCAGTAATCAGGCATGAAAACAACCTTGCTTACCTTTCATATTAGGGTCAGGCTTTTTGACTGCAGCCATTGGTGAGCCGCTGGTTACAGCTGGTTGGATGGTGCGACCCGCAGGCCTGGGAGATCCTGAGGTTGTTCGTCCTGGAGACTCCTGAAACACAGAAAACAAGCAGGAGTGTGGTCACAAAAATTGCTTGCTTTGTCAATTCAAAACAAAAAGAATAAGTGCAAAGTCAAATTAATAAATCCATCCATTACTATGATTCCATGTTTGAGGGACCTCAAGACACTTACTGTTGCTCCTCTTGTTGGTGTGGCTGGCTGCTTTGCTAACAAAGACTGTAGGGGAAAAAAGTAAATATTGACATGTGGTTTATGATTTCAACACCATTAATCCAACACCCATCTTTATACTGTTAATCTAATTCTGAAAACCTGCACACTGTAAGCAGGATAGCTGGGAGAATGGCAGGCAATGCAGATGAAAGTACAGGAAACTTCATAGGGAGAAACCTAAAATACTGAACAGTCCTCTAACCTGAAAAGCTGAAGCTTCAGTTCAGTTATTTTTTTATTTTTTTCTTCAAAGATTGCTTCCCCAGTTTATTTTTCCACAAAATGGGAAGTAAGGCTAATGTGGGAGTTACAGATATCCACCAGCACATGGGTGCAGTGCATACATTTGTTCAAAAGTGAAATGGAAGTTCAGGATAACTACAAAAATGTTAGACCACCCCAAAGTGGCCCTAACAGCGAGCAGTAATAAAATCCTTTTTGACATTTCTTCCTGATGCAGATTTTAAAAAAAATCCCTGCTTACAACTTTACTTTCTCATTCTATACAGCTTGATCAGAGCATGACATTGCCTTCAAAATTAAAACTCTAGATTAAAATCAGAAATTGAAAAATAATAAACAGGTTGACATATACCTGTTGCTTCATCAGGAATACCTGCTCATCCTCTGCACTTATCTCTTTATCATGAACCAACTGTGAAGAAGAGCAAAGGGGGAAAAAATCCATTAAAGAAGAGTAGAATGTGGAATATTAATGGCAATAAGTTCTGAAATTCTTAAAGCTGCAACATCAACGTTCAAGTTTCCATTCTGTCCATATTTGCGTTGCTGTACCTTTCGTACTGGAGGCTTCGTGATAAAATCTTCAAATGGATCTTCTGGCCTGACTGTTGTGAAGTTTTCATGCAAAATCCCAATTTTCTTCTCATTATCCCAGCCAGATGGACTACAAAGCAAGGAAAACACTGATCAGCTGCAGCAGATGTAATAACATTCTGTTGTGGATACAGCTTTCCTATTTCTTTGGCATAAAAATAAGAATTTATTTTGTGGTGTGCCACAACATCTGAAAGAAAGATGGCAGTTAACATTGTTTGGCAGCAGCATTACCTAAATGTCTTCAATGCGCCACTATTTTTTGGGACTGGTGCAAAACAAAAAAAATCCACTTACATGAACACTGCATCTTTCTCCACCACTAAGGCAGGTGTGACGAACTGAAAGTCATACATCTTATGTACTATATATTTGTAAAGCAGATCCAGGTTCTTCTCCTCTTTGACTGACGTATAGATCAGTCCAGCGCCAACTGTTTAATTAAGTTAGGGCAGCAACTGCTGGAGTGATGATATATTTGGTAGATTGATAATAAAAGGGCTACACAAAAAAACTAAAGCATGGCCCATTTCCATTTTAACAGTCCCTGTTATAAGTACAATGACCACTGTGATATAATTACAAACCATTATGTGTTAAAAGGATACACTGTAAGCAAAATCGCCGGATGTAGGACTGGATGAAATCGAAGTGCTCCTCTCTGTAGTCATGCTCCTTCTCTAGTACGCTGACTGCATCACACTGAAGAAGGAACGATTAAAAGAGGGAAACAGATAAATATTTTAGTGCCACGGACAATTAAATGTCTACACTGTCCGGGAGAGACACAGGTGCAACGCACACGGATACACTGCCTATGAGGGCTTTTATGTTCCATGTGCTGTTTTTTTCCACACCTCGTGAAACATAAATCTCATAAAGCAAATAATAACATCACAACATTTAACAAACCAATTGTTTTGTTGCCGTTTCTGATATTAAATCTGCCTTTTGACACCTAACTGGTAGGCCAATGAAAGTCCACAAAGCTGGTTTAGAGGACAATGACAGCTGATAAGGTAGGACGTGGTGTGGAGTTGAAGGATGGACCTGGCGTGGGGGTATTATTGCAGATTAGCTAACGGGAAGGTCTGACAAGAGATTTTCATGTGTTGTCTGCTGTATCTTTTGTTATGGCTTGAAAGGAGCATGGGGGCAACAGAGATTAACAAAAACAATTTCACTTTTTTTTTCAAAGTGTATTGCATAGATAAAGTGATAAAAGGCAAATAATATTATTGTACAGAGGCATTTTATGCCAAGCTGAGTAGTTTCTCTCTAACAAGGGCACCATAAAAGTATCGACAATAAAACTGCCACCATTTTCTAGCATGTGAGGCTCTGTTGATGGCTACACTGTGCCTTTTAGCACTGTTCTTGGCCTGGGGGGCTAACAAGTAAGCACAACAGCAGCTTTTTGTTAGTAGATACTGCCTCTCTAAGCACGATCATAAAAATAAAACCATACACAAAAGTTAACACAAATGTATGAGGGGAGAAAGAATTGATTCTATATAAGGTCTGAGCCCAAATGTGTTTGCCATGGTGGCAACTCAAGAACCCATTAGATGAAACCAGAAGTGAGAATGACTGTCAGGGAGTTAAAAACGCATTCTTTGCCCATTTATGTCAGACAATGCAGGCCTTAGTTGAAGGAGGCACTTATAATACTTAGTTATTGCAAAAGCTACATTATAAATTTATACACCGAGACAGTGACTACAGGTGCCTAAAAACACATGATCTGAAAGAGGTTCTGGAAAACAGACCCCGGAAGCCAGAGGCTCGGACATTAACTAGAAGGAAAGTATATCCTAGACTTTTTCTGAGAATGTTATCAAACTCATAGCATTTTTAGGAGCCATGAGTTTAATTCTTTCAAGTCTTTCGGCACATGGATGGACTATTGGGTTATCTAATTTAGCAACTGTCCCACTTCAGACAAGAGTACTTACAAAAACTAGCTTTGACAGATTTCTAGCAACACCAAACCATTAGCTGTCACGATATAGATGTCATAGCTTCAAATACAACACAGTATTTTTTTCAGTTTTGGACCTTAGGAATCACTTACCTTTGTGCAAACTATTAGCACTGGAATGCCCAGGTTGTGCGTGAGTGTGTTGTCCCCAAGTGGTAGCACAATGGCCTCGTCTTCCCCTGCTGTTGGGGCCCTTCGCTGTGGAGAGGATGGGGTGGCATCCTCTGGTTCTGTGTACTCCTGGAAAGCTTTGACCACTAAGAGAAAGACAAATAAGAAGAAGATTAGTGTATTTATACCTCTGCCACACCCTTTGTCTTCACTTCTCAACAACCACGCTTGGTCTGAGTTACCATGGTCACAGGATTATTCATCTTTTTTTTCCCATGCCATTGCTGCCTCAATTAAAGTTCTTGTGGTGTGTTTTTAGTTTCTCTGTAGATTCCATATAAAATTTTTGAGGTACCCATAATCTTTGATGGTACCTTTGGTTAATATCTTAAGTCACTTCTAGTCTCTGGTACACCCTGATACAGAACTATATGCCTGGTTTTATAGAGCAGTTTTAATTGTTCTGCACAGTCTCATACTATGCCCCTGAGATTCGATTACAGGGTCAACAAAAATAAATGCCACTTAACAGGCATAATAAAATACAGCTTTTTTGTGTGCATACAACAAGTCATTCCTTTGTGTGTGTATTGTTGTATAATTGAGAGAAAACATAAATACGTTACAATTCTTTGCATAAAAAATGTGAAAGGTGGCATAAGATAAATAAATGGCATCCTTCACTTTTTTTTGTTGTGCTGCCCCAGCTGTCCAGACAAAGCTGCAGTGTGAGGAGGTGGTAGTGGTGTGGGGAGGGGTTATATGCAGGAAACTTTGGCCTCCTTCCTCAGGAGCTTTGAGAATGCAGTTGGAGACAGTCCACAAAGCCAGACTGACTTGCCGTTTTGAGTCAGCTCCTTTACTTTCAGAAATGGGATTTTAAGCATTGGACAAGAACTGGTGATATAAGTAATTTAAAAGAGAACCCTTTTTGGGATACAGGAGTACACAAATCCAGTGCAGCATATGCACAAACAGGCTAAAGTATGTGTATTAAGGCACAGGGACAGTAACTACATGTAGATTTAATACCATCTCAAAAGAAAATTCATGAAAACTCCGGCTATTTTTAACAGAACTTAATTTGACAGAAAAAATCTGAAACTGATGGCCTCTAAAAATCAGTCAGACCTTTATCTTATTCTTTCTAGTCCATAGGCTTGAAGCTACACAAGATGTATGCTAGACCTAAGCATAGCATAAAACTAGTAAATTTATTGAATAAAAACACAGACAAGAAACCAGACCAAATTGGCATTGATCAAAACAACAATATTCACTTTACTGACAATGTTTTCGATAGAATAAACATGTCTTTTGAAAGGTCAGAAAAACCATAATACATCAGAAAATAGGAGCAGCTATGAGTTAAAAAAAAAAAAAAACAAACAAAAAAAAAACATTCCTCCAAAATGTTTCTTCCATGCAATCTTTTCAACATGCCGTCACCACCACTGCAGTGTCTAAGGATGCAGTAGATTGCTCTCATGGTGTGTGCAGCTTGAATGAATACTTTGATACGTTTGTTTTTGCCATGCTTTTAAACCAACAGTTGGTTAGTGTTCAATGCAAAAAAAGAGTGACTGTGCCTAGACTGTCACTTTAAAATAAAAACGAAAGAGACAAAGACAGACAGACTTTGTCCCTACATATCTGTTTCGCAAACAAAGGTGAGGTCAAAATGCTTTAATGCTCATAATTTGGGACTTCTCAGCATAAAACTATAACTAAAAGTGCTTTTTTTTTTAGTCAACAAATTTTCACCTTAGAATTATAAAGTTTTATCTGACATTTTTGGCAAAATTGAGTTATTTACATTTTCTGATTCTTGGACACATTATCTATACAATACTATGTGTTTTTTTAAAAATATATAATTTTTTTTAGCTTTTAATTAACAAAAACAGATAGTTCTATCTGTGATTTCCACTCTAAACTGAGTGTTATAAAGTTCTATCTGTGTTGGCCAACCAGAACACAGAATATACAACAATCACATTAATGCTTGCAGCTACGTAGCCAACTACCATGACCTGACAGTTAATGGCAGCTTTCTGTCACCAAAATGTCTCAAAGAAGTTTAAAAAAAAAAAGAGACTAAGAGTTCAAGAAGTCCTAAGTGAGATTTTTCAAGACAGCAGCAAAAGGAAGAGGTAAGATATTTTTCCTATTTGTGTGGGGGTTTTTTTTTATTGTTTAAAAGTTAAAAACTACCATTAGCCTATTTAGCCAAGTTAGCTAGCTTAGCTAATCTTACTTCTGTAGCTTTGTTTAATTATTTTGATTGATTAAGCAACTGAATTTGATGTCTATGATTATGAAATAAATGCCCAACAACACTATTACAACTATAAGTCAATGTGTATTGAATTTATTATGTTATTAATTAGTTTACGTAGTTATTGATTTAATGTAGCCCATCACTCTTCATACTTTTACTATACTACACCTATTGTTAAATTGTTGATCTGATTGTTCTGCTGTTTTGTGATTGTAACAAATTGTAATATTGACCATTTTGTGAACATTTTTTTCTTCTACTTAATTCACTGTTTACATTAAATCTGAGTTAGATAACAAGTTCAATTGTTATCTTACTGTTAATTGTTTTTGTTGTATATTTGTGATGAACTACACTTATAAACAGGACTTAAACCTGTAGAGCCCTTTGGGCAGTGTTCATAATATCATAAAAAAGCAAAATAATTACATTAACTTTTGACCTATTTTTGAAATTTTCATTTGATTCACACATGGTTCTATTCAAAGTTAGACCTGACGATCTGGAGAGCAAAAATAATTAGCTATTATTCAAGTTTAATACTGACTAAGGTCATTTACACTAACATAATTATCGTTGATCTGAAAGATTTAACCGAAGCATAATTGGCCATTTCTAATGATAAATGAAAAAAAATAAAAACTGGGAAATGCACTTTAATGTTAAAAAAAAGTTGTTTGTTAAAAATTATTTGAGTTCTGGAGCACAAGATATTGTTTTTAACGTGTTCTGCAGATAGAACTTTATAATTCCAAATGAAATGGGCCTTTTCAGAATTAGAAAGTTCTATCTGCAAAACACCCACTTCCAAAACTCCCCCTTATAAATTTTCAAATAATTTCAAATTACACATTTAGACTCTCTTTAGTATGCCTATAGTTCTCAAGTATTAACACAATTTAATGTTCATTTCATTCTGACTATATGAGCAGTCAAAACTTTAAATGTAAATATCTCAAAACTACCGAGAATGCAGATAGAACTATATAATTCTAAGGTGACGAAATGTCAAACAAGCAAAACTGGTTTACTTAGCATTTTAAGCTTAACCCAAGTTTTGCACAAGTCTCCAGCTGTTTACTAGCCAGTAACACTGGCTCAAAATACAACAGTCAATATGTCTTCCTGCACACCATTCTCAATAAGTGTAGTTAAAAACAATCCCTGTCTTGTCACAGAAACCACTGAGTGAAATATTTCTCATTTCAACATGCAGCTGAGCAGCGGTTGGCTGATCCTATAATTTGACTTGAGACGACACCAGCAGCCAACCTACTTCGGTTACAGCACAGCAGGAGTCAGAATGTCCGGCCCACTGACTGAATTCAGACCAACTGAGTTTACGTCCCTTCCTTTCCCTGACGCTGCCGTTGGAGGGGAGGGAACTATGATGCAAGACGCTTGCAAGACTCCCTGGACAAAAGCCACTAACACACACTTCCAGTCTGTCAGGCTGTCTCTCTCACTTAAACATTCATGTCTGCAAATACATAATCTGACTAGGTCTAAACAATCTGCTACTGACATCACAACTGCCATGCTGAAAAACACTTTATCTGGATGCCATGTCTGAGCTAAACTAGAAGACTGACTATGTCTATGGGTGGGGTCAAAAAGACAAAGTAGAAGAAACCCTGGATAAAAATCTGGCAAACAGAATTAAAGTTCAGCTTAAAAAACTGAGAACAAAAACCTGTGAAGACTCACAAAAAACCCTGCTACAAACAATGCAACTGCATTTTTTTTAAGGAAACAAAGACTCAAGTTAAAATCTGCTGAATACAAGGTATTAATTCCAGACAGTGTTTCCTATCTGCTGCATTGTATAGGTTAATGCTAAGTACACCTAACCAATACAGCTACTTGAACTGAATAAGATCACTGAGACAATTTCAACCATGGACCAATTCAAAGTCATTACAGTCACTTAAATTAAGCATGCTTTAGTCATCACTTGTACAACAGCTTCCCTTTTCTTTTTCACGTTTGCCACCAGACTAATATACATGTTAACACTTGCCACTGTGCTGGCATGTTATATGTGGAGAATATTTCAAGTTGAACAATTTGACATATTCATGAAAAGTTATTTTACCCTTTTAAGAGCAACAGCACTCAAACTGGAAGCTTGCAAGAACCTTCTGCAAAACCCTGCAGGACAAACTAACTTGTCTGAAAAGCAACCATCTTTCCAAAGACAAAGAACAGTTCATAAGTGAAACATGACCAGTTCTAAAATTAACAGGAAAGCAACATCTGAGTGCATCACACTCATTGATTTGCACAACTTGCCTCTAGCCAGAACACACAGCTGAGGATCATGGGCCTCTCTGATGACCCAGCATCATCCATGGCAATGTGTAATGTTATACATTGCTTGCCTTCCAAGCAACGCAGCAACCAATCTCTCCTTTTTCCCAGCAGACAAGTCAGCAAGGAGCCTGGCTCTTATTATGCAAGACTCCCATTGCATGCAGCCTGTAATGCTTCAGGCACCTTTGCTGAGTGCCTTTTTAACCCTCTCGTCAGATAGTCAATTCAACAAAATGTATGCATTACATGTGTGCATTTACGTCCCAGATTTTAGCATTTTTAGTCATAAAGAAAAATTACTACTTTGAAACAAATCAGCACCTTATAACAGCTTTCAATCTGATTTAACAAAACAAACACACGTTTGAATTTACACAAGTTTCCACCTTTCATAGCATTTGAACTCAGTTACTATTCCGCAAATCAAATCCAATTTAACATTCAGTCTTAGTACTTTCATGTTTGCTTTCCATTACAAATGTGCAACCAGGGAGGAGGCTGGTAATGGTACTACAGGATGTAAGGTTACTACTAAGTGCCAATGGGTTTGATTGTCCAGCTAGATAAACCATTACTTACTCTTCTGCTCCATTTCTCTCATATCCTCTGGAGGAATCCTGAGTTTGTCCACATGGTCACGAAGCACACTGGCCCACTTCTGCAGTGACTCCATTATGGTCCAGGGCCGTGACATATCCACAACAAACACAGCTAGACAGTCAGGTAGCGACTGAGGTGTGACAGCAAACTTAAGAAGGCCTTTGTGATATAGGTCCCCATCCAGGATCCATACATTACAGCGAGTAAGGTCTGCAAAGGAATAAAACAAATTACTAATTAGATACAAGAAATACAATTACTGTTTTTAGACATTGTTCATTTGTAAAGGCCACTGCTGTTAAAAGACCACAGATAATCTGCAGCAGGTAAACTCACCATCCCTGTCCTCATCATGGACACTTAAGTACAGATACTCCAGTCCCCTCCCTTTCTTGTTGTGATCAGCTCCTTGAAGTTTGGCCATGAGTGTTGTTTTTCCCGATCCATCCTCACCTGCAAGACATTGTATACATAAAGCATGACATCATTTATTATCAATAATGGACATGGTGACATTGATAAATACAGACAATTTTAAATAATAATTAAAATAAAACTCCTCACTTTATCTCTATTTCTATGAGAAAAAGCACATCTAGACTTCACAATCTGTCATTTTAAATTCACAAAAGACTGCAATATCTAACACAAATTTTCTTGGGAAAAAAGCAGGGCTTCACAGTTTTCTCGCACAGAGCCCATTCAAATAAATACGATCCCACCAAAGAAAACTTCCCTGCATTTTATGTTTGCTATGTCTCAGTTTCAAAAGTGTGGGAAGTGCAGACTGAAAAATCGGTTTAAATGTGCAATCAGTAGCTTTTGTGAGTTCAGTTTGGTTTTGCCCCACAGTCCCCTCAGGGTTGACAATCACAAATACACTGCAGAAGTGGAGATTTTCACACAGGTGGCGTAAACAATACTCACCAAATACCAGGATGTTTTTTCCTGATGGTAACTTTGAACTCGATCTTGTTGAAACTTCACTCAGTATTGAGGACCTACAAGAATAAACAAGACAAAAAAGTAGAAGTTAGATAGACTGCCAGGTGGCACACTGACAGCTTCTTGTCTGCTATCAAAACAGCAGCTGGTCAGCTAACGTTGCACATCTTAACTTTATTGACTACAATTATTGCACTGTTTAAGCTAGCCCAGAAAGAAGCCCACGACAACACACATACACAAAAACAGGAAATGATAAACTCCACTGACCGGTGCGCTAGAAACAAGTAGTTAAAGACAAGAATTTATGAAAGCTGACAAGTTGACGCCCCACAACAGTAAAACCTCTGAAGATATGAGTGTTATTTTTCTGCACATTTCGTTTTGTCGGTTAAGGTGAGCTAGCTTGTTAACGTTCCTGTTAGCTTGCTGTACTCCTCATAAAAAAAGGGCTAACTAGTATTTAGCTCTTGACATGAACTATCAAACCCCCTGATGATATAAAAGCTCTCTGGAAATCTGACACGTCCCACACGATTTATTGCACGAGCAAAACTCGCCACAAATAGCAATAATCGTTCTCGTTGCGGGGTTAGCTACACAGCCCAGTTAGCTGACGTCTGCTAACACAAGTGACCGCTCAGCTTCAGTTATGCTAATGTTCTTGCTAGCCGGGCCGGTGTTTGAGAGGCAGCAGCCGGCAGTGACAAAGCAGAACCAATGGCGGCTGTGCTTCCCCGAGAAGGGTCTCAGTAGGTGTGAAGTCGTCAAAAGAACAGCAGGACTTGCCAAAGGTTTTGTCCTTCTTCCTCTTCGTTGTTGTTGTCGCCTGAACCGGCTGCGCCCGGGAGCTGTTTCTCCAGAACGGGAGCCATCTTCTCTTCCGACAACCACAAAGGCAAGGCCCTGCTGCTTGGCCACCACTAGCACCGCCTTCATCCAAGTGGCCAAGGGTGCGTTACGTTCGTTCACCGCCACGCCGCGCCCAGACACGGTGTGCGCCTCAGAGTACAAAATGTTATTATTAATCGATTTAGCAGTGTTTGTGAAAAAGAAATAATGTATCTTCTACAGCAACAGTTGAATATATGTGAAAAAAAATGACACAAATTCGCTGTTTTTATTGTTCAAACACGAGGTCAAGCATCAAGCAGCACCGCTGGCCATATCCCAATAAGTGATGTCATTGCAGTTTTTTTTTTCTTTTAACAGCTGATAATGAGTACTGTGATATCAGTAATGGGCCTGTGGCAAACATATTTACAGGTTTAACTCTGTTTCAAGTGTGATTTAGTGTGAATTTAACCTCTGATTCTGAATCAAGATCAGCCCACGCAAGTATAGCCAATTTTCAGTCAAATTATTCACATTATTTGGGGCTTACATAAAGCTCATTTGTACTTTTGCTAACATTGTCAACATGCAGGTAAAAGTAAGAAAACGGACTTTGTGTTGGTGTTGTGGTTGCCCAACAGGCCATAGATGCAGCTGAACAAACATCCATTCAATATCTATCACATTATCATAGGTCACCAGCTATTGCACAGAGTTGGAGCAAAATGAGTCTGATAATATAAACTTAACCAGTTTCTTTGGACATTTAATATTTAAATTTAATTAGGACTACGCACCATGCAATGCCTTTTCCAAAGAAGGTACTGTATGATGCCTCCTCATTTAATAACAGATTTTTCATGCACTTTGTATATTTGATATAGCCATGTCATGCCAACATCTTTGCAGCAAATACATTTGTAAATGTAACAGAAATTAATTCTACCTAGTTTGCTGTGTGGAAAGTTTAAAGTTTCTCAAAAAACAAAAACAAAAAAAAAACAAGTTCTCTTCTCCTTTCCTACATCATACTTGAAATAAACCATTTTGGGATGCATTTACTACTTTATTTAGTTTCCTTTCCAAGAAGGTTTTTATATTACAAACTGTTTTAGCAGAAATTCATGAAGATGACTCAAGCTTTTGTTCTGCTAAAAGATTTAATACACACTCCAACTTGCACAAGTCTACATAAAATGTACTTTGTTGTCCCTAGGGGGAATACATTGAACACAGAGTACACACACTAGTCTTAAGACCTAACCCCAACACACATGCACACACACACACACACACACACACACACACACACACACACAAATATATATATATATATATATATGAGCATCAGTAATGTTGTAAAATAATACATGTCCAGTAGATGGTGCTATTCATGCTCCCCTGAAAACTGAAAGTGGAGAAATCTGTTGTCCCTTTAAAACTTCTATTGAAGAAATTTGAGAGCAAACCTGCCTTTTCACTGTTTTATTGTGTGAATGTACAACTATGTCTTAATTAAACTGATTATGAAGAATTAGATATTGTTATAATATCCAAAACATGTCATCCCAACCTCTTCGAAAAGCACAATTATGAGAAGGAGGTAAAAAGGCCTTTGTCATCGATGGTATTTTCATTTGTCATAGGAGGAAAAATGGCCAGTAAGAGCACACAGACCCCTGGTATTATACATGCTGCTTACTGGCATACTTTATTTAATCACAATACTAAATATCCATCCATTATCTATACACCGCTTAGTCGCGGGGGGCCTGGAGCCTATACCAACCATCTTAGGGCGAAGGCAGGGGACACCCTGGACAGGTCACCAGTCTATCACAGGGCCACACTTAGAGACAGACAACCAAGCACACTTACATTCACACCTATGGGCAATTTAGAATTGCCATTTAACCTCAACATGTTTTTTAACTGTGTGGGAGGAAGCCGGAGAACCTGGAGAGAACCCACGCTTCACGGGGAGAACATGCAAACTCCACGCAGAAAGATCCCGGTGCCCCCACCGGGACACGAACCGGCGACCTTCTTGCTGCAAGGCAACAGTGCTATACTAAATATCACATAGCCAAAACTGACAGTATTTGGGTCAATCTAGCATCTGTGCATGACTGGGTTAACTATATTCAGTACCAATGGGTGGAAAATAAATAGTGTGACCAACCATTTCCACAATAATGTAGAGCAGCTATGATATGAATGTGAAAGAAATAATAAGAGAAAAATATGTGCTGCACAGTCATCTCCTAATTTTGCCAAATAAATCTAGACTCTAGTGAAGAGCCGTTAAATTATGTCTGTGTGCCAACTCCTTTATAGGCTACATTCTCAAAATCATCCATTACATAGTTTCAAGTAGGTTATTTCACATGTTTTTTTAGTGAGTTGTGCAGTGCTCACAAAACAATATATCATAGAGGTTGTAAATTCCAAAATCCGCACATTTTATTGTGTTTAATCTTATTTTTGTCACTTAATTTATATTAAAAGTAGTGACAAATACTAATCTGCATACCTTTCTGTCACTAGGAACTGCACACAAGCCCAGCAGTTTGCCACATTCCTGTACACAAACACACATTCTGGTAATGAGCTACTGATCTGCAGCAAGTTGTAGCCCCCAACACCTGTTTCTTTACTTTTCATTGTTTTTGTTGCCATGTCAATGTAGGTCAACTGGACCCAGAGATGCAGACAGATGAGCTTTGGACATTAACACAGTAACTCTGCGGGATTTTCCAAGACCTCCCTGTGTGTCTTTGAGTCCTGTCTATGTGGAGTGGAGTGGTTGGCTTGGATGGTGGTTATACTCCTGGGAGTGCATTCCTGAGCTTTTGCATCATGTGAAAGTCAGCCTTTGCTGCCCCTTTGTCACAGTTTAGCTCCACTGCCAGCAGGGAAAACAAACAAGATCGATCAAATTTTCCTCTTTTCTGACAAAAGTATTGCTTTGTGTAGTTAGGAAAACTTCAAAACAGAGCATTTTTTTTCATGCGATTCAATAAATTGGTATAACAACACTGAGTACATAACAGAAATGTGCTTCTTGAATCTTTCTGTAGCAGTCGTTTTAAAAAATAATGTCTTATATTCTTGTCTTTTTTTGTTGGAATTTACACCGAAGGAATCAGGAACATTTAATTTCTCACTGACAGACATGACATGGTTTTGATGAAAAACTTTTTAACTATGTACCAAGATACATAGAAATTTGCAAACAACAAACAAACAAACAAACAAACAAAAAAAGCCCAAAAACAACAACAACAACAACAAAGACTATAAAATGCTGTCTTTGTAACATCTGAAGTGTTGCATTTGTGTGGCATTATTATGTCATTTCCCAACAAGGTTTCTCCATTATTGTAGGTGCTGTGCTGTGCTATCAGCTCTTATAACAGGAGAGGGAGCTGTCTCCTCATTAAAAGACTTTCTGTTTGGGTTTAATTCTGAAAAATATTTTTTGATTTTTTGTAAGATACCTACATGGGAACAATAAAAGGGTCAAATTTAAAAAAAAAAACTAATAATAATAAAGAAAAGGGGAAAAAAAGTCCCTCTGAACATGTATCCAGTAGTGAACACATTAAAAAAATCTGCTGTTTTGCATTAAAAAAAAAACTATACAATAAAACATCAATAAAATGCATCCATTACATGCATTAAGATACCTTTCCTGCTGTGATATAACAAACCTTGATATACATATGTCAAACAATCACTCCTCTTTTAAGTGAAACTAAAAATCAACTTCCTCCTGGCCTAATCTGGGACAAACCAACCTGTTTGGCAGCTTTTCAAGTCATTTGAGACAAAATAGCAGGTTGGGCAATTTTCAGTGATGCAAGCAAATCGCCAGTCCAATTGTTATGTAAACTCCAGTATCATTCTTCCAGTTTCACTGAAAGAAACTATAAAGAAAAACGTGTTTGTCTGAACTGTCACGCAAAGACCCACTGTCACCTTTCTTTACAAAGGAAAGGAAATGTGAGTCCTTTTTTGTTTGGTTGCGTGTGTTCCTGCAGCTTAGATAAAACTACAGCTGTACGTTACTGTTCATTTTGTTGTAGAAAGATTGAAAGTCCTCACTGCAATGTGAATTCTGTCTTTATCAGATCAATACACAGCCATCAGAACTTTTCAGGTGCCTGGTATGTCAGCGGCATGCTGCTTCTGTAAAATCTTCCAAAGCTGACAACATGTTTATCTGGAAGGAGCAGCTGTTGAATTTCATTAAGTCTCACTCAGACCCACTGTGTCCCATTAACACTTGGAAGCCAAATAGCAAAGAGGCGCAGTGCTTCACAATAATTTACAATATTCAAAGTAAACATCTGATTCTTTTTTCTTTTTTTTTCATCCTCAAACAAGAGTAGCAACCTTATTTTGATACACATGAACACTCCACACACTCCGTTTCTCTCTGTTCATAACATGATTATGGTTATTATTTATTTAGAATCCCTTTAAGCATTTTATTTTTTTTCATGATTACACATGATGAGCATGCTTGTGATATTGCTGAAAAACAAGAGAAGACAAAAAAAAAAAAAAAAAAAAAAACCCATCAAGGAATCACTTGAATCAATGATGCTCAAGTGCTCTTACTGACATAATGCCGCTTATGCATAATTTATATTACAGCAATACTCCTTTGGGAGAGAAGGGGAGGGGGACCACAAACATGACTTCCTTTAGAATTGTATTTGAGCAAAAGGGGGAAAATGCAATGTTAGAAAGTGTAACAATATGTGGTGGTCCTTTCATAATCACCCTCAGCCCCCCCAGATGTATTTCTACGGAACTGAAATATGCGCTGGAGTGGGTATGTGAGGCAGAGGAGGGGTTAAAGACTGGGGAGGGTGTAGATCGCAGAGCGTACAGTAGTGGGGTTGGCTGGATTGTGATAGCGACAGATGTCTAGAAAACTGTGAGAGGCACTCCTCGGTTACAACACAGTCTGCAGCTCGAAGAGCAGGGGCGGAATCTGCAGCTGTCAGTCTCAAGGTTTACCTCCATTATCACATCCAGCCGGAGATTGGAGAACAACTGATCCCTCTCTAGAAACACAGGTCGGTTGGTTTATTGTTAATTTTTTTATATTTTTTATTTTATTTATTTATTTGTGTGTGTGTGTGTGCGCGCGCGCGCAATTGGAACATGCATGTAGTGTGGGTTGTGCGTGCGTTCCAGGTAGAAAGAAAGATGAAAAGAAAGAAAGAAAAGTGAAAGAGGATGCCGCTGATTCGCAGTTTGCCTATTGTTCTCTCTCCTTGCCTTTCTCCTCTTGTGAAATTTTACATTTAAATGCTGGAATTATAAAGAAAATATTTTCTAATTTCCCAGTTTGCACTGGTTACTCAGTGGTCTCTGAGGCAATAGCGCGCCTTTGAAAATTGGCGATCAAAAATCTCCCCAGATTACGCAAAGAAAGCCCCAAAACAAAGTTGAGATAGAAGTAACACGTCGTGGGAGCGAATTTTCTTTGGTTTGCGACGTTTTCGATTGCTTGTGAAGAAGAAAAAAGAAAGAGAGAGAGAGAGAAAAAGGGCAGCAGAGAAGCAGGGTGAGTTGGGTGGGTTGAAATGGGGGATGGAGACCCCTCTGCTGCCTGTATCACTTATAGCCATTGTGGGCCTACAGTTGAATTCGGCTGCATAGTAGGCTGCAGTCTACACTATAGTACAGCTCAGCGTCGGTGTTGGCTGCCAACTTAGCCCAGCCCATTACTTTTGTCAGTGAGGAGCTACTGGTGAGGAATCCCCATCCTTTGTTACCGGCCGGCACATGCTGCCGCACATTTGTCTCCTTCATCCCTCTAATTCTACCGTCAAAAACGGTGCCTAGGCTGCTGTTTGACTTTTACATCCGCTTATAAATTGGCTTTGACGTCGCTGTCATATTTTAAAGTCGTGATTTGATGGTAAAATGTTAAGTTTTTTTACTCAAGCAGTTTTTTTTTTTTTTTTTGGCGTTGTCTGATTGGGAGGCCGGAGAGGCACCCAGAAGGGTTTGGTGAGAAAAAGGCGAATTCAGAATCAGCTAGGAGCAAAAGTGTAATTATTTAGAAGAAGGTCCGACAGCAGATTTAAATAGATGTTACTATAAAAGCAGGTGCAACTGCGTTTTTTTTGTTCTTCTCCAAACAGGCAGCTTAGTAGACTGTAAATGGGTGCATGGATATGCAGCCTATCCGTGCCTGGTTTGTGGCGCATCCTGTCTTGATTGCCCCATTGCAGCACTATGGACAGTTCCCGGATGGTTTGTACCTGTGCCCTCATGATGCCCTGCATGGTGAATGTAGTGCTTGAGGCACTTTTAATACATCCAGAAAAGAAAAAAATAAAACAACATCAACACAAAAACCTCAAACCCAGCCTATCATGCATAGTATTGTAGGACAACCAAATGATGAGACTGTGGCATTCAAAACAAATGTAAAAAACGTCTATCATCTGTGCCAGATCATAATGTTTAAGGACTGTCGTTTGGATAGTTTATATTCAAACAGGCTGATTTGTTCAGAGTTCACAGAAATATATTTACTAACTTAAAGTTGAACTTCCAGTTCTCTGTTCTTTCACGGAAGTTGCACTCTTTGGCAATCGTTGCACCACACTTCCTCTACAACCACAACACAGGGCCACTTTATCCCAGAGAACTATGTCTATAGTTCATATGTGCTCCATTCACAGAATGTGTCAATGTGCATGCTGACATTGTTTTTTTTGCACTGATTTGCAGTTCGTACAGTCGATTCAATTTTGTACGCTACAGGCTCTGAAAGGTTTCTGTTTGTTGAGAAATTCATTACCATGCATACTTTCTTGCCAGTCATACTGTCAGAGCAATAGTTGTGCATCTACATCATAGACATTCAACTCAGGCTTGTGGGCACATTTGGCACTGGACCTTCCCAGACATTCCTGAAAGGGTAGAGAGTCTGTGGGGTTGTTGGATCTCAGTAAGGTTCCCATGCATTAACATTTGTTTTCTAGCCAAACTGTGTTTGGCAGAGAACTGTCTCCTAACTGAAATTTTGGTTCACTTCGAGACAAGAGACCTCTCTATTGAAGTGAAAACTGTTTTACATTTGAAGCATATATGTTGAGGCCCTGCTGCATTTTATTCTAACATGTAATCAATACTTGCATCACCACGACTCACTTGAATGTAATCTGTTAAATCTCCATCAGTTTTGCACAAAACTGACATTTCATCAGAAATACCACATATATTCTTTTTAGATATAATACATTTGTGTATGTTATTTGCTTTGCCTTTCTACTATATTTGACAGAAAAAGAAATATTAATAGACAAAGTATGACAAAACGCATACCTGTTGTTCACACAATTAAACTTTAACTGCCTGCTATGACCTCAATAAACATACACACGTGTAAATGAAGAATATAACTTCTGTGCTCGAGTGGCATACTGGCATCAGTGTTTACCACAAATGTTGCCTCAGATCAAGATTATTGTGGCTTTTAAACCAGCTGCCTGAGTCCTTTAAGAAAGGAATGTGCATGTTTTCTTTGCATTGACATGGGTTTTGTCTGACATTCCAAAGACATGTAGATCAGGCCAACTGGAAACTTGAACATATATTGCCATTTTCCTAAACACCTTTTCATGATTAAAAACAAAATCGGAAATAAACAATATCTGTTTTTTTCTTAGGAGACATCATGGGAGGCAAACTGAGCAGGAAAAGGAAAGGATATGATGTGAGCGACCCCAAAGACAAGAAGGATGAGACCGCAGCAACACCTGCTGGCGCAGAAGAGTCTGCCAAAGTGGAAGATGGAGCCCCATCCACAGCAGTGGCAGCAGTAACTGAAGCTGCAAAAGCTCCAGAAGAACCCAAATCTGTATCTCCAGAAGAACTGGCTCCTGTAGTTACAGAGGAGGCTGCTCCTAAACAGGAATCAGCAGTAGAGGAACCAGCACCAGTAGCTGAAGAACCAGTTGCAGCAGCAGTGGAAGCTCCTGCAGTCGCACAGGAACCAACTGCAGCTGTGGAAGCAGCTCCTGTAATGGAAGAAAAAGCTGCAGCAGCAGAGGAAGCAGTGCCAGTAGTAGAAGAACCAGTGGTAGCAGCAGTGGAAACAGCTTCAGTCGAAGAAGAACCAGTTGCAACAGCAGTAGAAGCAGCTCCAGTTGCACAGGAACCAGCTGCAGCAGTGGAAGCAGCTCCTGTTGTAGAAGAAAAGGCTGCAGCAGCAGAGGAACCAGTTGCAGCAGCAGAGGAACCAGCTCCAGAAATAGAAGAGCCAGTTGTTGTAGCAGAGGAATCTGCTCCAGCAGTAGAAGTAGTACAGGAAAAAGTTCCAGTAGAGCTCTCCGTGACCACAGCAGAAACAGAGGAAACCTCTGCTCCGGCTCCAGAACAAGCTGTTCCAGTTGAAGTTGAACCTGAGTCTGCACCTCCAACTGAGGAACCCCATGTAGAAGAACCTGCTGCAGCTGTCGAATCAGTGCCAGAACCAGAAGCTTTTGTAGGCAGCACAGACGCAGCACCTGTGGACCAAGAGCCAGAGCCAGAGTCGGAGCCGGAGCCTGTACCAGAGACTGTTACTGAGCCTGAACCCACTGTGGAGGAGACAGTTGGGGCTGCTGCTGCCTCCGAACCTGAGCCAGTGGCTGAGACAACAATGATGCCAGTGCTGGAGTCAGCCACCAAACCAGAGCCAACCATAGAGGCAGAGCCTAAACAAGAACCAGAGCAAGCATCAGAGACCAAGGCAGAGCCAGAGAAAGAAGCAGAGCCAGAGCCAGAACTAAAACAGGAACCCAAGCCAGAGTCAGTGAAAGCGCCCGAGCCAGAACCTGAGCCAGAGCAAGCTCCAGAGGCAGAGCTCCAGCAATCAGCAGAGCCAGAACCTGAGCAAGATGCTGAGGCAATGAAACCTCCAGCAGAAGAACAAGTAGAAGAAACTGAACCAAAACCAGCGGTAGCCACATCTGACATTACTGAACTCGGGACTGTGGAAGCAGAAGCATGTGAGGTCTTGGAGGCTGCACCAGAGGGCATCTCGACTGAAGCCTCCAGCACCGAGACAGCAGCTGAGCTGGAAGCGCCAGAACCTGTCCCTGAGATTGTCGTCTCAGGTTCTGTCTCTGCCAATGAAATTACAGCTGAACCAGAAAAGGCAGCTGAAGCCTCTGTGGAAGAGGTGCCTTGCCCAGAGCCTGAGGTAGAGACCAAGATGGAAAATGGAGAACTAGAAAGCCCTTCTCTTACAGAGGATGCAGCTGAAGTCGATGCACCACCAGCTGTAAATGGAGAGTGCAGAGATCCTACTGCTGCCGTGGCCACACAGGCAGAGGAATGTGTTAATGGAAATGAAAAGCCAGAGGAGACGCCTATCAAGCAGATTGACTTTGAACTGAAAAAGGACGTGAACTTGAGTGGGGACATCCAGGAAGTTCCCGATGCAGTCTCAGACATGGTGGAGGGTCTCAGCACTGAAGTCACCCAGGCAGTCTGAACAGAAGACATCTTTCAAATCAGTGTGAATTCAGTTTAATATCCCCAATGGTTCACGAAAGCTATCAAGGTATCACAAACATGGCTAGGCTTTCTGAAATACTGTAACCACTGCAATGTCTTTAGTGGTAACTCAGGCAAAAGGATGTTTTCTCTTGAGTAACCAAAAATGAAACGCAACCACTTGAGGATAGAAAGTGACAGACCGAGATTGATAGTAAGTGTGATGAAAGTACAGAGAAGAAACAGACAGTGAAGCTGGACAGCATGGCAAAAAAAAAAAAATATGGACAGTAAATACGACATTAAGGAATGAAATGAATAAATCTGTCTGTGTGTGAAGCCGAATAATATTACAAAGTGGTTTACTGGAAAAACATTCATTATTAGTATATTATTTGATTTAGAATTTCATATATCCTTTCTATTACTATATGCAGAGACATGACAAGTGTTTTGGCCTTTTATAATAATGGTACCTGTGAGAACTTAATTTTAAACTGATTGTTCAGAATAGAGAATAAAAAGAGATTGTTATAGTCTACGGTGATCTTATTTTCTTTTTCTTCTCTCAGCTTTAAGTGTGTCACAATTGTGTGTAGCACTGGGTTCATACAATGTGTTGTACTTTAAGCTGTGGATCAGTTTCTCTGATTAATGAATTAGTCAGTTTTAAACCCTTAATGTAGATTTACCTGTTTTGTTAATAAGTAAAGAACCACAACTAGCTTTTATGTTGTCAAAATCATTTTAATCTTCACTGTTTAATATGGGCTTGAGCTAATTCATTCTAACACTGAATGAAACAGACATACTCAAGCTTTTTTATAGGGTCCTACGTTTTTATGGATTCAAATCTAATTTGCTTTTATGAACATGTCATCAGACGAAAATATTCTAGATGTCTTGTCCATTTTCAATATGTTGCCTAAACTATTTGCTATTGTTAGAAACTTTGGATCTGCACTAGAATTTAGAATTAGAATTTAAATTCATAGTATAAGTTTGTATGGACTAAGTCACCAGAAGTTAATTTCAAAGCATAAAATCCACCAGCGACCAACATTTTTCTTGCCACGTTTACAAGAGAAGCAGAGTAGCACTGTTTACAGAGCAACAAGACTCTGTTAATTTCAAACCACTTGTTGACATCTGCTGACACTACAACTCATATCAGTTTGGTTAGGTTAGAGTTTAGTTGATTATTCATGTCTGCAGAGAGCAACGACCTGGAGGTTACATAGTAGGTGGACCATTCTTGGCTACTTTTTGGAGCCTGAGTGACACAATTGGGCAAATGAAAGGATTTCTTTTTTTTTTTTTTTTACCGTATCCAGAGAAATTGGTCCATGTTCTGAGATGATCCTCGGCTCTGTCTCTCTCACATAACCATGCCTATCGCTGAGGCTCGACACCATAGCAGCACACCCTGCTAACATTTCACAGATCCATACCAGCAAGGGGAACCGGGGGAAGGGGGAGGGGCAGGAATGCTTGCAGGAGGCAGAAAAAAAGGGAAGAGGGGGCAGGGGGAAGAGTGTCGTGGGATGAAAGCAAATGCTATGATGCTACACAGAGGAAAAGAAAACAAGACAAGACTCTTCTGGTTACAGACATTTTCAGGCTATTTCACATATTCAAACTAGGAAGTATTAGTGTATAGCTAAATGGGATTAGATAAACATATTTTAACACCAACCTGAGGCCTTCTTGCAGAATGCTGCCACGCCTGCCACTCACACCAATGTCACACTGGAGGGTCTTTGACGACCAGGTGCTAATGCACATACATTCACAGGAAGGAGTAAAATGATATTTGTGTTTCTGAGTATCTGTGAGCACATGCGCGAACAGTGGGGAGATGGGTGAGTATGCATTTGTGTGTGTGTATGAGGCGGTGGGAAGCATTGGCAGAGTACAGTCATCCAACCTTGAAAGAACTACTGGACCATGGGTCAGAGCATAAGAAGAGATCTGATAGTGATTACGAAAGCCTCCCATAGACACAGCTTCATAATGGGTCCATCCGCATACCAGCTCTCTCTAGTTTCTTAAAAAAATACTCCAGCACTGCACATTTATGATAGGAATGTTGCGGAGAGGGTTTTGGGGGCAGAGAGGGTGAAGTTGCAGGCAAGTTTTGCTTCTTACTCGCGGAGCAGTTTTGTCAAACGCTTAGTTTGTTTGTGGGTCACTGCCACGGACTGTTAGTTTGGTAAGAGATTTATTGTAAAATTAATCATATCCTCAGTGGGATAGTAAAACAACAGGGTTTTATTTATTTTTTTCAAATAACTGAGGCAACACATTGTGTTTCTTGTAGTCAGAACATTTCACAGCAGAAGTATTTGTTGCCTTTACCATTCATTATTCAGTAACAACAGCAGGCCTGTGTAAGTTTTACTTTCAAATGCATAACAGTTTATATCTGAGGGCTGTCATCATTTACAAGAACGCATTTTTGAAAAAGACAGTTTAGCAGAAACACAACTGATCCTTGTTAATTTTCCTAAAAAAAAAAAAAAAGGTATAAGGTTGAAGTATGGATAAAGGGGAGCCTTCTAAATCAAGCCGAAACGTAAATGCAATAGTAGTTGTTTTAATTCTATGATAATATATTCATTTATTTAAACCAGAATATGTTTTTCTTTTCTTCTTTTTTACTCTTGGCAGAATGATCATCATCATTACTGCAATCCTATACCAAAGGCACATCATTTCCTTGTTTCCTTGGTTCACTTTCCTTCTATTTCTTCCCCTTGTATGCGTGTGTTTGTGTAGGAGAACAGGGTCCTTGTCCATTGGATCTTGATTTAAACACTGCTTTAAAGTTGCATAGTTGTAAAAGGCCAGCTGCACTGCCTGGTTACCCTAACACTATGTGCTCTATATGCAAGCTCCTGCACAAAGCTCAGACTGTGTTTCAGCTTCTTTTTTGCCTGTGTGAAGACTAGCCTGCAGGCTTTAGCTCTCCCCAACTGATGCCTCTGAGAAGCAAAAGGAAAAAGAAAACGTGAACTAAATCCAAAGGCTCTATTATCAGGAAATGTGTGAGGCACTGAACCACTAGGTCAAGTTTCTGCATTTTTTCCCCTTTTGGGCAGAGAATCGAGGAAACTGGTCTAGAAATAACTGTTGGATTGTGATGTCTTTTTAAATGATTCACCAATTTACTATATGTAAGTATATGAATCAGAGAAACTGGGAGAATTAATTGCCAATATTTAAAGCTAATACCTCTGGAATATTACTTCACCATTAAATAACAACACTCTTTATTTGTAATATGACCATGCACAATGAGTGAGCACCATCTTCATCAATAACTCAACAGACATATGGTATAACTACAGGTTTACAGTTGGATATAGCAATAGGACTACACAATTAATGTTATGTTTGATGTACAATTTGTCAAATCTGAAGTATTTCTCAGCTGCTGTGCTTTTTACCAGATATTGCTCCTGACGAAACCTATTTGCATCCTTGGCTTTAGTAAAAGCAGAAATTTAATAATGTGAAAACACTTGCATTCAAAATGCAGACAAGAGGCTTGACCTTCAACAGTGCATTGCAATTTGTAGACTTTGCATGTGTTTGTTTATGGAAAAGCTGGAAAGTAACAAACAACCAAAGCTGCTCGATAAATGCAAATCAGCAAAAAAGTACCAATCATCACTTAAAAGTAGTAGACGTACTCAAATAAAATACAATTACCTAAAAATTGCTCTGAAGTACAATACTTGATGCTACATTCCACCACGGATGTTGCACTACTCATCACCAATTTATCTGAATATTCAAATTCTGTACTCTGTACTGATCTGGACTAGGTTTATGAAGGAATGAAGGAATTTTTTTGTTTGCTCTTTTTTTATTATCAAGATAACAAACGGGAAAGGATGTGAAAGTGTAAGGGAAAACTGCTCATACTTCGGAAGCGCTTTCTGATCGAAGAGATAATCTCTCCCTTGTTCCGTCCACTCAGCTGCCTGAGTAGATAATAAGAGTCAGGTGGCCAAATTACAGCAACAGCTGATCACTATTTATTATTCAAACACGAGGGTGTCAGAGCAGAAGTACACGCAGGAAAACACACACAGGACAAAAACAAACAGTTCACTCTTCCCCTTTCACTTTGTCTCTTCCCCAGACTGACACACATAAACCGACTTCTAATGCTCTCATTATTATGGCTGTAAAGAGACTTCCTCTCTTTCCCTTTATGTTCTCTAAAATGGTTGGTCAGGAGCAGATGCACTAAGTAAGTGATGGGCTGAAAGAGCAGCAGAGAGTGTTTGATATGGATTCATCTCCTGCTTCAAGCTGTGCTGACACAAGCAAACTCTGATTTTTCTATTTTTCTGTCTGGCTCAGCCTCTCTCTCTCTCTCCCCCTCACACTCTTGCTGTCTGTCATGTGCACATTATCAGCATTACTGTCTCCTCTCCTCTGGACCTGTAAATCTTTATTTGCCTCTTTATCTCTCTCTCTTGTTCTGGCTGCTGTTTCATCCTCCCACCCTCGAATCCATCCTTCTGGACATGTGCGCTAATGCTGTCATTGCATCAGGGCGGCCAGAAGCCTATTAGACAGAGTTTGGTGGTAGTAAGGATCAATATTGATCCATAGTGTTTGTCTAATGGATGCTGAGAGCACCAGTGTTTCCCCTTTGTCTGCTCAGACATCCCATCACCCTTAACTCCTCACACATGCGCACTTTTTCTCTCTCAAGCACACAAACAAAGACAGTGCTTTCTATTCTGTTTCACTCTGCTGATGCAGCTGCTGCGCTGAGTGTGCACTTTACCGCTGCCCATTTTACTATGTCTGTGTGTGAGAGAGAGCAAGGGGTAAACATAAATGTATCTGTGTAAACATATAAGCTAAAGGACGGTGGTTTCTCAGTGACACCTACATGTATTTCTCTTTACCAAACATTACAGACTATTAAGGACAACCAGATGATTTAGGCACACACATACACGCACACAGAGGAAAGCTGCTGTGTTACATCACCTAGTTTAGTAAAAACAAACTTTTTTTCTCCTCCCAGAAACCTATTCAGGCCATGACAACACAAAATGAAACAGTGTGGACGCCATCTCAATTTCCATTTTGGCTCAACCCCCGCTGAGATTTTCAGTGCCTGGGCTGTTGTATCAGCAACTCTTTAGTGTCGCAGTGTTTGCTGGGCAGCACCAAAGTGAAAGTTGAGATGGCATGCACAACTGCTACATTCATCATTTTTTGAAATTTAGATACAACAGGCGCTTCTTTTTACAGGAGACCTTTTGACTTGTCATTGCAGAAAAAGAGCGTGCACCACGATTTTTAGTTCTTTGTGAACTAGAAGATGTGAAGAGATAAGAGCAGCCTGTCGATGCAGCTTTGGACAACACATTGCATAGAACAGTTATTTCTCTACTATGAACTGTAACTATTATATTCTTAACCCTTTATGGAGCAAGTGACCATATTTGGTAACTTCCTTGGACGTTCAATATGTCCACCCTGTGCCTCTCTTTGAGGTTGAAGAACAAT